GCCCATCTTGAAATTCTAGGAGGGTTGAGAACAGGCAGCTTTCATTAGATGAGTGTTTGAGAAGTGTATTGTGGAGAAGGAGTACATCTAAAATAAAATAAAAACTGAAACAGAACAATCTTCCTGAATCAGCAGTTGCCATCACCCTTTTCTGTTCCTTCTGGATCTGGTCCAGTGGCCCTGAGAGGGCAATGAAACATCATGGGGATAAGTGGAAAAAGAATTCAAAACAGAAGGCTGCTTCTCTAGATGCATGTTTCAAAACCAGAGACAGGAAGTGCCAGGGGGAAGTACACTAAGGCACGTTAATGCGTAAGACATAGATTTTCAGCAGATGGGAGAATGACATCCATGCAAATGACAGAACCTTGGCAACTTGGCATTATTTATGTTATCCTTTAATATTTGGGTGAATACATGTTTTATTTATCCAAGAGTCATACTAATTATTATACCAAAAGAGATCTAATTGACAATACAGACTCACAGAGTTCCACATACGTATTTATGAAACACTCCCTCCTCCTCCCGACCACCACCAATTATATGAATTCAGTGCATATTTGTTGTGCTAAACCAATTACCAAAAGACTGTATTCATAAATAAAGAGGTAATTACCTATTTGCTTCAAGAAATTATCTTCTCTTCCTTTCCTCTCTCTTCCAAATGACTCTTCCCTAAAATACCCAGGTATTTGAAGAAAAGTTTTAATCTTTTACAGTCTGGAAAGTGTCTTATTCAGTCTCCTTTTGATATTTAACTCATTGCTAAATGTAAATAGGTTGGCAGAAATGATTGCTTGCTTGACAGCTGGTTATTGATGGGTAGCATTTTAGAAAGGAAAATAAGAGTCTGGCACTCACAGCCAGCAAGTATCCATGGCCCTCCACACTCCCTTAGAACATGCTCTGGGCTGTTTTTCTAGGAATGGTGAAGAATTCGCAGTGATATATCAGCTCTCTAGCTGGTCCTTCTGGTGACCAGTGTTACTCAGCTAGGCCTTGAGTAGGTTTAGGGAATGCTGTGGTATTGGACCGTTTTCACTCCACAGAATTTTACTCAAGCCAAGTGACTCATCTCAACGTTGAGCTCATGCAAGAAAGGTAGAGAAAGTCAGCATGGATAACAAGCAAATGAAAGGTGGTGACTCCTATCTTGTCCATAAGAAGAAGGGCATAGTGGTAAGGGTATTCTCTTGGAAGCGTGGGTTTAAATTCTGCCCTCCATAAATTATCTGTGCAACACTGGGCAAATTGCTTGACTTCTCTGGCTGGCCTCTTATTTCTTCATAGTTTATCATTGTTGATAAAATAGTACCAACAATATCTGCATTATAAACTTGTCATGGAATTAAATGAATATGTACCATCAGTCAGAGTTAGGACTTGGTGAGTCAGTAGTCCAGCATAAAAGGTAACTCAAAATATACAAAACACACAAACATACAAACATGTCATTGTGACTGGAAGAGCCATTGTGATACCCAGCAATAGTACAATATAATATTTATTTGGATTTCAAGAGGTCTTGATTCTGATGGCAGATTGTTTTCATAATAAAGATACCAGGATGTTTTGAATGGGGCTGGTTTAGCTAAGCCCAGATCAAATGAAGAAAAAGAGGCTAATCTTTGCCACTTTCTCTGGAATGTGTTTCTCAAACACGTATTTAGGTGAGCACGTGGTGGCTGTAACCCACTCCCACAAGCACCTACATTCCCAGGTGACTTCCTATCTCCCCAGTGCCCCAGTGCCCAAAAGAGAAATTTCCCATATATTTTAAAGTGACAAGGCTCAGTGTAAACTTTCTCCTTCCGAAACATTTAGGGCAGTTCCTGCCAAAGTACCCTTTTCTACGAAGTGATTTAGTACTTTAACTTGCCCCAGACACCCTGACATTTGTGTAAAGGTTAGTCTCTCATATTTCATGAGGTTGTTGGGGAAAGGAGATGGTCACAGAGTTTAGGTGAGTGAGAGGAAGAACGATACCCTGCTCTTTTGGGGTTTTTGTCTTCCACAGCTCTTCCCCTGTTTTCCTGGTTCCACCAGTATCAAAGCCGTTGGGTATGTAGCAGATTGTACACATCTGTCCTGCTGTTGCCCTGACAGCAGCGTATGGCCTTGTTCCTGGTGGTCTTGTTCCTGGCGGTCTTGTTAGTTTTACAAGCTGGAGTACCTGGAGCAGAGGTGGGCAGGTAGCCAGCCCCGTGTGGGACATGGACCTACTTTAGGGGAAGGACCTACATGGAGAATTGGTTAATGAATATACTCCCCCTCCCCTTTCTTGGCAGAAATAATACCAGCTGTTGCTTAACTCCCTTTCAAAGGAAAAGGGCCTATATGAGGAGGTGAGGGAGGCTTCTCATTTGACTATTGATTTCTCCTTCTGTGCTTATGGTTAAAAAATGCCTTGATGGTTGTCTTCAAATATTTCACAAGTAGAAAGAATGGGGAAATGCTTTCATGTTGGTTTTTACTTTAAAAATACATTTAAAAAAAAAACGTATAAACTTCACTTCCTAGAGTTGATAGCCCATGGCTGTGGGTATTGGGATAAATTCCCCAGCTGTCTCCCCATCGTGGGGGAGGGAGACTTGAGCCTCATCCTTTGTTTGCCACTTTGGTTTCCAGTGCTCGGCCTTGACCACTTAGCGCTCTCTCTGAATAGCTATAGGTCGAGAATAGTGGGCAGGAGCGAAGAGCTGGCGTGAAAACCGAACAGCACAACAGAATAGAAGGCAAGAGAGAAAGCAAGCATCTTGGAGGAAGAAAATACTGCTGCCTGGTACCCCCTGGTGCCCAAAGATACCCGGTGTATTGTGCTTACAACACTCGCCGGGTCAACAGGGAGAGAGCCGGAAGAATTGCAGGCTTCAGTGGCGACAAGTTCAGGCAATCACGGGAAAGAGAGTGGGCCCCTTCTGAGAAAAATCATTTCGAGTACAGCCAAGCTGAGATATTTTGAGATGTGATTCAGACCTGAGAATGAAAATGGGGGGATGGGGGGTACTTGAATTGAGAACAGATGTAGCCCATTTTTAATGTAGTTAAAGTGTTAAAGTGGTGCCATCCCAATAAATAAATACTTAACTCCTGGTTTCAAGAAAGTGGGCAATGATAAAAGAGGCTAAGCTCATACACTAAAGCCAAAATTGGCCTCCTCATCTGTGGGAGCGGCAGTTGGTTCTCTCAGAGGCAGAAAGTGCACTAAACCTAGTTACATAAGATCTGAATTCAAACTCCCACTCTATTCTGTTTGCCGTTAATGAAGACCTTAGACACTTACTTGGTTTTTAATCTACCTTGATAGGTTGTTAAAAATAAGAACATATCAGGTACTAAGTAAATGCTTATTATGAATTATAAATGATACGATTCAAATTCAAATGAAATTATAAATTGAAGATCATGGCTTCAATTCCACCTAAGTTAATTACTTTGGTATTGAAAATTTTGAAAAAACCCAACCAGTTATCTGGCAATCAGGAACACTATTTTTTTCAGTACTTTACCTTACTCTACATATGTTCCTGTGAACAGAGTCACTACCTAAATGGTAGAATCTGATACTCATCATTGAAATATACAGTATAACCCTTTAATATATTTATGGAAATGTAATTTTTTAAATAGTAAAAAAAATTAGTTTGATTAACTGTAATTGGATTTTAGTATTTTAGTGGGACAGAAGGAAGAAAAGTGAGGAAACAGCTAATGAAACTGAAGAGCCCATAGTATTATAGATAATTTAATCTTTTGAGAGTTTTGTGTCATTTCCAATTATTTTCTGGCCTAAGAAGAATTGAGAAGTATTCCATTAGCTAGAGCCATTAGGGAAGGCTTAAACGTCATGCCTGCTTTTTTATCTAAGATGACACCTTGCCTGAGGTAGACTTTGAAGATGTCCTAAAACTGAAGGAAAGAGGTTTTTAACATGAGATGAGGTATCCCAGAACTGTGGGACAAGGCAGAGGAAGACAGGGTGCAAGAATGAGAACTACTGCACCAAAATGATTTTTTT